GGACCGAAAGATATCAATGGGGAAGCACTGCCGACTTAGCTACCAAAGCTAAACTATGGGAGCAGCATCCGAGACGCTGGCTGCAGAAGAAGACATTGGTTGTATTTTTGGATCTTTTTTTTTCTCTGCTCATAAGTGGGGAATTGGAGCCGATTCGAAGACAGCAAGTACGGCAACGAAGCAAAGCGGAAGCGTGGAATGCCGCCATGTGTGTTTTTTGGGTGGGTAGTATTCTGCGATCGGGCGTTGCTTTCGATGTCAAGGGAGCCTTTCTTGGATTCGGCGCCCTGCCCCCCCGGCGGCCGAAGTGGGTCTGTGTGGCGCGGATGCTCCGTGTCTCCGTCATTGATCGACTCTGTATTATTCCGTAGATACTTCGTACCTAGATAGGTACCGGGTATATTGGAGATAGAAGATTGGCTTCACTGATCTGATTCTGACTACGAGTATAAGCTGTCCGTATAGAATATCAGTTATTCCATACATGCACACGTATGCCCAACCTCCAGTGTATGTACGAAGTCCCGTATGCGCAGCAAAACAAATCTACTTATATATTTTACACCCCTGTACCTGAATCGTCATACGAATTCGGAGCTTTACCGCGATAGAAGCAGTGATAGGGCCGTCAGGGTCAGGTAGGTAGGCCGGCGCGAGACATGAACGCATATGGACTTGGTATTGGCGTATCAGCCTACCTACCGCTCGCACTCATTTTCCGTCCTTTCCCTTCCTCCTTCCAGCGTTGTCCTGTAATACTGACAGGGCTTCACATTCATCAATGCTGACTGATTTTGGAGGATATGGGGGGGGCCCCCCATTGCTCGGCAGGTAATAGCCGGCATGAGGGAAGACACAGAGAGGGCTTGGGAGGCAGCCGTTACGATGCCTTGCTTTGCGACGTAGCGTCACTGAGGCGAGATGCAGGATCGCAATGGACAGGCTATCTGAAAAACACGATCAGAGAGTTATGGGGTTTCTCGAGTTAGGAGCGTGATGTGAATCTATTCCCCATGCTCTCGAGCTTGAATGTGCTATTTATTTGTTGGGTATGCAGTCGAAATTATGAGTGACAGACAGTGTGTGTTTCCTTTGTTGTCTTCTTTCTTTTGGTGATAAGCTGTCTGGCTCGTTGTATTGTAAGTGTCTTGTATGATATGTGCGATCTGATCGAGGTCACAGTGCAGGATCGCGGCGACGTGGAGGGATTAGGCTGGGGCAAGAGAGAAATGAACAGGTTGGAAGGCAGTTGAACTAGGTGTGTTAACATGATCCGTCTCATTGGCTCGAAGAGATGCGCGAAGCAGACTGATGAAGAGGTTTATATAAATAACATATAGGCCGGGGCGGAGAAGAGCGGGGGGGGGGGGGGAGAGAAAAGAGAAGAAAAGCAACCTGAAAAAGAGGATTACATCCCAAGATGGGGTCTTTGAAGTTGAAGTTTTGGTCTTTGAAGGGAGGAAGCTATTATTACCTATTGTCGTACTGAATGAAGTGTGCTCATTCTATCCTACTTTCTCTCACTCCTCCGTGATGATGCAAATAAAAGGTACATATGCGACCAAGCGGCTTCCATGGGGTGCACACTCCTAGATTGTCTTTCATCCACATACTACTAGTATATTATATGCTGATATCCAAGACCGCTGAGCGCATTGCGCAGCAAAGCTTCCTCGGGTCTCGCGAGCCGCGAGCATCGTAACTGGTCAGCTGCAATGGCGCAGCTCAAAGACGATAATAGTCATTGCTTACCTAAATTCATTTGGCCGGTCGAGGCTTCGAGATACTTTACTATGGAGGCTCGTCGAATCAAAAGATGCAGCCAACCTTCAAAAGCGTCCACCCTGTCTCGCTTTCCACCGGTAGGAATACATCCCGAGCAAAACACCCCTGAACCATGGATCAGGCCTCGTTGGATAATAGGCGGGTTACCTACTACATATCCATGGAATTCCAGTTCGCAGCTTATGAGATGTTTCGATGCATTTGAATGTTTGCAGTGGCATTACATATGTGCCGACGTTCAGCCTTTTGTGACCATTCTTGTGCCGTTTCGGTCTAATCACACTCAGGCTCGGTCCTCTCTCGGATTCATCTCTTTATCTTCACATTGACTCCGGCACTCTATTAGCATGAGGTCGTGCTACACATTGTCTGGAAATCTCATGAATGCATGAGTCCGGGGCAGCATGACAGGAATCTGGTGGATGATATGGGACCCGAACCTCCAAGCCTCTCACTCATGCTCAAGGCTTGTAGATAAGCCCGGGTCCCAGGCCTCCTGATACCGAGGACATATAAAAATCACCAATACTACGCCGCATTTTCCATCTGCTTCCATAGGGGCTGGTCATTGCCCATATCTGATTCTTGAATCGTAGCTGTATCCAATTCTCTAAAATCTCTTCTCCGTCTCCGTCCACTTGCCATTTCCACTATTCTCACATGAAGTACGAACGGTCACAATGGATTCACCAGAAGTAGCAGGGCCTAAATGCAGAAGATTGATAGTTGTGAAGCCGCTTCCCGCTCATGTCATCCCCATCTGATGGGCATAAGCTGAGACTTTGTGATGGGAGCCATACTGGAGAGGCCCAGGGAATCAAGAAGTCTTGGGCCGATCAACCCTGGCCATTAATTGAGATTCCATCAAAGACCCAGCATGCGCGTACAGCTGCTCTCCCGTGTTCATCACAGGGGTTGAGGGGGTGACGATGTTTCGTTGGCTTGGCTGTCTATTTTTTTTTTATTATTTTTTATTATTTTTATTTTTATTTTTTTGATGTTATGATACCACTTAGCCCCTAAAGTCGTTTACCCTTATGAAGCCTCTGTCGGCAGATAGATATCAAAACAGTGATATCTAATGTCTAGGAGGAAAAGTAAATGCGGTAAGAAATTCATACAGATGCTAATGGAGTGTCCTTACAGATATCCCACCCAGCTCTCCACATCGCGAACCAAATGGCATATATGCCCAACGCCATGCTGCGCGGCCTCAATGCGATACATCTACAGGCCGCACATGTTCGGCAAATCCAGAACATAGCAGACTTGTTATTTCTGACGAAGAGTTGGAGCGCCTGGTTACTATATCACCATGTCTCGAAAGAGGGAACCATGCTTCCAGGCTTCGAAGCCGCCCTGGGTGCGCCAGCGGGTACACCGACGTTACCCCGACGGCAGAGCCTACCAGCCCCGTATTCTACTTCAAATGAAAGTTTGCTGACTATGACGAGGGAGAAGAAATGTCGGGGAAAAGGTTCTTACGGAGGAGGAGATGAGGCGGAAGGAGATGAGATAATATCCTCCCTGCTGCATCGCGTCTACGCATATGCCTCGGCCACTCATAAGAGTCCGCATGCGTATGATGAAGCGATGCTCAAGACTCACCTATCTGCACTCGCCGAGAAGCTCGTGCCTCATCTCACGGCGCAGATTGGGTTTCTAGCCTCGATGCGAGAGATGTGTCTTCATCCTTCATCCGCGTCCTCGGAAAGCGAAACCGGAGGTGATTAAATTACCCCGGCCTCATTTCCGATGTCCGTGCCGATTATCACAGTAACGCCTTCACCGATAATGCCACCTTTACCCTCATCCCGATCACTCTCTTCCCCTTTATCCTCAGCAAGATGCTCACAGCCGCGCGTGATGTATTCCCTGTTCCCATCTGCTCGACGGTCGAAAAAACACAGGAGTCTCCACCCTCGCCAGGAACATCGACGCTCGTTCGCAGCAGAGAGATCCCGAAAAAGAAGCAGCAGCAGCAGCAGCAGCAGCCCGCCATGCAAAAGAGCTCCAAGACGCAAACGCTCGGGCCTCGAACCTCACAGAGACGTACATAGCGGCCGAAGCACAGGCAACGGCCTCGATGGACCGGTTCGTGATCCCGCCTATGATGGTGCGGTTGCGGGACGTTACGCTTCCCCCCCAATTCGACGTCTTCGTCCTGTCGTTTCGGCTGTGAGTCGCTGGGTGGACGTGCGGATGTGGGCGAGTGGCCTTGCTTGTCAGTCCCTGCCGTCCATGCGGTCGCTGATCAACTTTCCGCCAGACATAAGGGCGCGTGGAGGTTTTTACCGTGCGATGTCTGGGGACGGCCGAGGGAGTTGCCGTTCTTGGGATAGATTGATTAGCGAGGGATGCATGTAGGCATCTTGATGAGGGGGGCCTGAGCTTGGTGCCATTGCACCGGTTTCTTATACCTACTCTAGGTAGTAGCGTAAGAAAGGGGTTCGCGGATCAGTTCCAGCTTTAGTTGATCTTTTTTGCCATGTTTTTTTTACATACTTATCGTGCACCTACCTGGTAACCACACGAACTGGCGTTGCCGCTTCTGCTCGGGGTAGAATACATGGGAGCCCTGCTCTACGGCGCGCGATGTAATTTTTGAGGATAGACGAATGTGGAATTTAGCTAAATCATTACATATGCGGACGGATGGTATTCATAGCCATGAGCACGTGGTTATATTTCATGATCGGGAATTTTACGTGATGTTTCTGTGGGTACTTTATGGGTGCTGCTTCTCCTGTGCTTGAGCTTGCTGTCTGTGTTTTGCTTGCCCTAATCGTGCTAACTTGCTTCTACCTACCTGATATCAAATGAGTGGTCATTGATGGCTTTGATCATGGCACGGTTTTCTTTGTATTATTCTTGCTTCCACCATGTGATTTGTTGGTGAGGGAGCGGTTTTGTTCGTCCGTACTTCGTACTACTACTTACCCTACCTAATATGTAGGTATGTATGCTGGGCGGCTTTTATCGTGGACATCCGTACCTTAGGTAGTCAAATAAATCACCACAGACAAGAAAGAAAGACACCAGATGGGTGAGCGAAATGAAGTCCTAAACGAACATAAAAACAAAAACAAAATAAAATAAAATAATAGAACCGCGCCAAAAGAGAGGGGAAGGGGGGGGGGGGGGGGGGGGGGGGGAAAGAAAAAAATTTGGTCGCTACTCCCAGTCGATTGATCTGAGAGTGGCATCAGGAATTGAGCCCGATGCGGGGGTCGAACCTGTGATTTTAGGTCAGTATGTTAAATTTTCCGTTTTCGTGCGGTTTTATTTTGGGACTTACCCGCAACCTTGAGATTAAGAGTCTCACGCTCTACCGATTGAGCTAACCGGGCAAGCGGCTTGTTGGGTTGAATGCTGTGGTAAGCAATTGCTGCTTATGTTTCCGAGTTCGGGGTTCGGTTCGGGTTCGCTAGAGCCTAGTGTAGGTAGTGTAATTCGTTTAGCGTGAATACGAGGAGAGTTGGGCGATGATGGGGAATTGGGTTGAATGGATTGCATGGGATTCCGTCTCGAGTGATTGATCGATTGACTCTTCTGTTCAGAATCGTCTGTAATGTCAGGGTCTATCTTCCTGGACCGAAATCATGGCGCGGAAAAGGACTTGTATGAACCTTTGGCGCACACCGGACAAGATGGGGCTATTCTTTTGCGACGCTGATATTATTTGGTACATCGATAGTCAGCATCTCAAGGGCGTTGGGGCACAGGAGAACATAACAATAAAAAGTTCGTGCCCTTATCATCACCATCGAACCGTGCACTCCTCGAGTCCTAAGCGGAGGTGGAGGCGACGTCCTACATCGCATGAAGATATCCTAGAGACAGCAGAACTATCGATAATCCATCAATCAATACTGCTAACATTCTCAAGTCCACCTTGAGTTGAACTAGTGTTAAGGTCAACCCTAAATAGACCTTTCCCTTCCCCAGGCGGAATGCCAACACCAATGACCAGGGCGTGTCTAAGACAATATTGCCTCGGCACTTCCAACCCAAGAATCCCAAACCCCAAAAAAAGACTATAGATTGTCCCGGCCCACGCGGCGGAGGTCGAATTGTTGATTCGTAAAACTAATAACGAGGGAACATTTGAGATCTTTACCGATGACTAGGGAAAACGCGTGCCAGTCGCGCTGGACACGGCCTTCGGCGACGTTTCACGATGTAGCATTGCCGCGAGCTTCTTTATAGTGTCCCTACATAGTAAGGCGGAAGATCGTGTGTACGTCATTTGATGAAGGGATGGAGGGGCAACTGATCGTGCATAGGTGGTGTCGAGGGCCGTGTCGACAGAATTTCTCCTAAACGCGTAGAGTATCCTTTCACGATAATTCTCTTCGAGTAGCTTCACTACGTGTTATAGCTTCACTACGTGTTATACCGGCGCGAAGAAGTTTGAATAAACGACAGCATCCATAGCGCACAAGCACGGGCTTCGAACTCACTGGTCGTGTTCCTGTTCACGACCAGAGCTAATCGCCATCGTCGGTATAATCGCCGAGATCCTTTCCACGATGACGACGACATGGCGGCGGGCGAGTTCCCGTCGCAGGAACGCCATCATCAGATTCTTTCAGCACACAATACGATCTCCCGGCATTCAACTCATCATCTCACTCTTGAGCACTATCACACCTGCGGCAAGCACGCCAGTCTCGTACTTCCCCTTGAATTCGCAGCTTCCACCGGTGGCGCGTGCCTCGAAACCATTCTCATTCGTTTTCTCACCACTGACATTCTCGTCCGATTACGCTATGAGCTATTCACTAGCTGATGGTTCACCATCCTGGCTCTCCCTGGATAACGCATCTCGGACGCTGTCAGGAATCCCTGACGACGCCTCGATACCACCAGGCCAGAATCTGGTCGGTGTAGATATTGTGCTTGTAGCCCGCGACAAGACGGGCTCGACCGCAGCAAATGCAACACTAGTGGTGTCACGGAATCCCGAGCCCATCGTACGGACGCCACTCGAAAATCAGATCGAGAGATTCGGCGTTTATTCTGCACCAGCATCCATACTGCTTCACCCTTCGAGCGAGTTCTCATTCCAGTTTGATCCAAACACGTTCGGTATCGATTCTGTAAAGAACGTAAATAACCGGCGAGAAGCCTTGAGAGAAATGAGGAAGGGCACAGATCCAAAGAAAGAAGAGGATAGAGGAGTCAATGCATCAGGACCGCCACTGAGCTATTACGCAGTGTCGGGTAACAACAACGCACCTCTCCCTTCATGGATTGCATTCGATGCGAGAAAACTTGCCTTTTCAGGCAAAACACCATCCTTTGAGTCTCTTATCCAACCGCCCCAGACATTTGATTTCTTGCTAGTTGCCTCAGATGTGCTCGGATTCTCGTCGGCTTCCGTCGAATTCTCAATCGTGGTTGGCACGCACGAACTTACTGCCAAGAAGCCTCTTATAGAAGTAAATGCCACGAGGGATAAAGAGTTTGAATATACGGATCTTCCCAACATCTTGGAGATAGATAAGAGGCCGCTGAAAAATGGCGACATTTCTTCCATCATGGCTGATAATTTACCAAAATGGCTTTCGTTCGATGAGGAATCATGGAAGCTCAGCGGGAAGCCAAATGCAGAGGAATTATCGACAAATGTCACTATTGTCATCATGGACAGATTTTCCGACACCTTAAATGTGACGCTGGAAATAAAGTTCATGACAAAAGTCTTCGTGTCTGATCTCCCTGATCTCAGTCTGTCAGAAGGAGACGATTTCTCGTTTGATCTCAAGAAGTATCTTGTCAGCCCACAAGACACGCAAATCACAGCCAGGATACAGTCTGACAGCTCTTGGATCAAGTTCAATGGCTCAAATCAGGCTCTTTCCGGTACAGTGCCCAAGCCCCTAACCTCTGTGAGCAATATCGAGATAGCTTTCAACGCGACTCAGAGGCGTACAAGAGATGAGGAGACGAAAAATCTGCGAATCCACGTAGACACACCAACAAACATGACCGAAATACCTCAACCGACGCACTCTTCCAAGCCAAACAACAAGGCAGAGAGCTGGCGTAGAGATTTGTATTGGCTTCTTATCATTCCGGCCCTGCTCACCGCGGTTGGAATCTCACTGCTGCTTTTTCAGATACGGAGGCGGCGTCAACAGCCGAAGAAACTCGACTTTTCAAAGGTATCGGGTCCTCTGCCTGGCAGTCTTGTGGCCAACGGCGCCATGGGTGCTTCGTCAATGGTGATGCACGGCACGGAACCGCGTACATCCTTTATACGGCCGGACACCTCCGCACCGGTAGCCCCGTCCAATGTTCGAACAATGCAGACGGCGGCAAATTCGAGCACAGCGGCTGATCATACCATGGCCATACGAGAAAATGCCACTGCTGAGACTCAGATACGCCGGCTGACCCGACTATCCCCAGCTGGTACCGATGAAGTTAGCTTACTCTCCGATACAAGTGTTGGGGAGGAAGTACATATCGACGACGAACATCTTTCTTTGAAACCAGGACCACTGAGGAGCGGTCCATATGAACGGAAAGTCGGCCTAGAAGTCCCGACCGTTGCCGAAGCACTTAGTATACAACTAACTCCCGAGTTTGCTTATACAGGAAGCCAAAAGTATGATTACGTCTCCGATGACGAGGGCACATCGGCCGCTGGTCATGCCGAGCAGGGGAAATCAAGCTGGAAACAAGGGGGTTTGACTCCGCCGGAGGATCCAAAGCGAAATAGCCATCTTAGTGCATATACCGACGTTACAACTCGTACCAGTATCCTCGCATCAGGGATTGCCGAAGAAGCAACTACCGCAAGAGCGAGCAATATCCTTGCAAGGCCGACGGTGATTCACATACCCAGTAGACCCGGCGAGGCGCGGCAAGTCAGTAGGAGAACGGACGATTCATCAACCTTCTTTGGTGGACGCTCCCTGACAAAATCTCAACGAAATTTTAGGCTGGCCAAGAGTACAGAGGCAGAACCAATATATTCCCTTGGCGAAGAGCCTCGACCATTCGCCGGGTTCACCGGGGAAGACATGTCTCGAGGTAGCGATACATCATGGGATCACTTGGGGAGAAATTCTCTAGGGATCGCATACAAAGATCTCTATCAGACAGAGTATTCAACGGGAGAGCCGCTCACGGATAGGCAGGACCACGGGATCGGCGTAGCACTAAGTGGACACTGGGATAACCACCACACAGATGAAGAGTTCATATCTCCAAATAGGTGGCCTATGCCGGATGTAATGGCGATGCCTCGCCATTTATCTACCAAGAACAAGCCATCAGCAATGCCCAAGAACAAAGGCAAGAAAAAAGCAAGCGATACACATAGGCCAGGCAGGGGGTCTGGCTCGGTATCATCACTTTCGCAAACATCGACACATCCGGGAGCTAAAGCACGAAGTTGGCGTGAAAAGGGCTTGCGACTAAGCCGCATGAGAGAAAAGAAAGCGGATGATGAGTTTCATGGCATGACATCACGAAGACCATCAGGCCATAATGGATGGCCACAGAGAAGAACAGCATCACGGGCAAGTAGAGTGCCACTGGCTGATCTCTCAAACGAACCAAGTGGGCTGAAGAATACGTTGTCGAAACGAAGTGTGAAAACGTTGCGCAGTAATAAGAGTGTAAGGAGCGTATGGAGGGACGGAAATGACGACGACGACGATGCCTGGGAAGACATAGTGCCACCTGAGTCAACAGTAGGTGGATGGGATGGAGAGGAAAGCGATAGAAGTTTTTCAGTTTATATCTGAGATGCGCGGTTTGCATCAGACCAGGAGTCTGATCTATTTGTATGACATAAGAAAAAAAAACGATTTTCATGCCTGGCTATTGAGCATGAGGTCGTTCTTAATAGGTAGAAGAGCAAATACGAGACTCTTCGAGTAGTAGTAGGTAGTAGGTAGTAGGTAGTAGGTAATGAGTTTGCTTGCAGGTTTGTAGGATGGGTAGACTGTACCTAGGTACCTACCTAATAGGTATTGTGATGAAGCCGGTGCCATGTATGTACACTACCTAGGTACCTAGGTAGGTAGGTGTAGAAGGTACCTAGGTACCTACTACCTACCTACTTACCTATGCTAAAGTAAGATTGTGGGTCAATCAAAATTCTGCAATTCCTTATCATTTAAGTACTAATCGCCTAACCGAGACAGGTTAGGTACCCGTTACGCCTTACGTACCTCGTATGAGTTCGTTCTTGCATTTGACTCGTTAACTCGCTGGCACTGCAAGAACTGATCGTGAAAGGAAGCCTTCGTAACGTAACCTGGTACCTAGCCCCAGTAATTTGGGTGTACGTATACTTAAGTCGCCTTTCTCTCACGTGAACCAGTCGCTA